GCCTCGCCCCGCCCTCTGGGAATTAGGAAACATTTTGCCAATACCGGTTGGTGTGTTCCACTCGCTTCACCTCCTGTTTTATCTTCCATTTTTTTAGTGTGCCGGGGCGGGCGTTCAGGTGGTGGATCTGGGCAGAGCTGGAAAGTTTTGAAGCCTAAATTATCCCGGCGACATTTCTTTATTTAAATATATTTTATTGAATAACAGTCGAATTCTTGGGTGGGGGTTGGGGAGGGGGGGATTTCTGCACACCCTAATAACATGACATGAGACCAGGGGACATGGCAGGATGTGCAGAATACCCCGTTGAAGAGCAAAGGTGCAACAGGTACTCTGGGAGAGAACTATCAACATCAGAAGCCCGAGACTGTTCAACACGCTTCCACTACACATAAGGGGACATAACTGGCCGACTCCTCACATTGTTCATGAGAGAACTGGATAAACACCTCCAAAGGATACCTGATCAACAAGGCTGTGATTCTGGCTGTGTGATCAACCAAGATAGAGAGATATATCTTCTGGCAACTGGTTCTCAATTCAGGATAAGTTATTGATTGTTTTAGTGCGTAGACTGGCCAATTGCATGCTTTATAACTTTAATACGTCCATATATAAAGTGAGAGTTGTTAGCGAGGCAACGCTTCATCAATAGTAGGTTTAATTTAACCTTTCCAGTGACTGAACCGCTTCTATTGCTGATTACTTCATGTATAATATTTTGTTTGCATATTTGCATGTATTTGATACTTGCATAATACAATTTGTGTTTATTTGAAATTGATTATTGGCTGCAGCACTATTTTTAGAGTTAGGTTAGAATGTGTATATTGTTCAGATCTATGATAATGAACGGTACCAGTGATTACAGTTACAGAACTGTTAATTATCATATCCTTGTATAAAGAAAGTAAGTAATTATCAAAAGAAGGCACCAAACCGGGAAGGTTATGTATCCTTGTATAAAAGTCAAGCTAAATGTGATAAAATACCCGCAGGTATGTTGTGGTTCTGCTATCAGTGACCAGCTCAGCCTTGAGGACCCTACCCGCTACAGCACATTACCAGTATCAAGGATACACAGGATTTGGACTACAACCCAAATTTAAGACCCTTGCCCTTAGATAAGAATTTGCATATTTTATTTTTGCATTTTCATAAAATATATACAGCACTTAATTTCTAAGTCCTAAGTAATTCTCCTCTTTTTATCAATCATTGTACTTGTCCCACACCGTCTGACACTCGGACGCCTGCATACCCCACCAAGAAACTAATCATAAACAACCTTCATGCTCAGCTTGCTGATCAAATTAAGTACTCAAGAATACATACACAATCTACAAACTAAAAACATCATCACAGAGATCATATACACTGCCAGATCACTCGGTACAGCTACAGACAGGGCGGGAAGTGCTGTTTTTGGTCATCAGTCTGATGGAAGCACAATTGAAAAGGATAATTTTTATTTATTTATTTATATATACAAAAGTTCTTACATTCTTGTAAAGCCACTAGCACGCATAGTGTTTCGGGCGGGTCAGTAATCCAAAATTTCCCCCCGGAATACGACCCGCCAATTAAATCGTTTAACAACCAGGTACCCAAATACTTATATATAAGAGTAACTGAGCCTCCGCCCTGCGAGTTGAACTGGTAGCCATACTGGTAGCACTCAGTATTATCGACAATACTGAAGTACACAGCTTCATTTTTTGAGACACTCTGTCTTCACTACAAGCGCTAAATAGTTTAGTATCAAATAATAACGTCCTTGTCTCCGAAACCGGACACTGGCATAATCGCATACTTAATAAGGGTTAAAATCAAAATGTTGTAAATTCCAACTCATATTGGACTGCAAGAACATGTTAAACGTGACGCCCTTGCTAAGATTGCGGTGAATAAAGACACAGTTGAACGTAATCCTGAGCTATCAAGTAGATCCCTTATAAGTGTCATTAGACGAGAACTCTTAGATGAACTTGAAGCAGAATAATGAAAACAGCAACTAACAGGTCCATTGCTCATCACAATGAAATGTGCCGAACGGAGAACATCCTCCGACATCTGTAAAGACTCGTCCTTAACTACCACTTATGGGTACTCACTCTCCACGGTCAGTGTGCCGCTGTCGTTGCTCAAGCGCACCTCCCGACACTGGTAGGGAGCTGAGCTTACAAAACTTACTGCTCCACAAAACTCATATATGAAGCGCTGGTGGAGACCTTCACCGCCACCCTGTTGTCACGCAGGACCTGAAGACCAACCAGGTCATCCGGCATCACTTGCACAACGTCAAGCAGTGCTGCTGATCACCCCAAGATGCACACTACAGGTAAGAGTCAGCCCAGCTGACTTTCCTCCTCAGCGGCGGCCCATTAGGTCTCCATACTGAGACCAGCGGCGCCCCCTCAGTGACCAACAACCACTAGGCAGTGTAACAAGCAATCATCCAGTGTAAACACCGGCCTGGCACCGCTGGTTCCTGTGGGGTGGTGCCCCACACACCCACAGGTCACACTGCCCAGTAGGGCCGGTCACTAAGAGGCGTCTGTGGCTGTATAACAGTGATCATTGTGCTGTGTTGTTAGACTTTACTGAACTGAAGCGTCAGCTTATTGCTGTTTATAGACAGGTGTCCGGGCATAATAGGCTTGACCTCTTCTCTCAGTGACTAACACCTATGTAACCTATTTTATAAATAGGGAATTAAACATGCCTTACGGAGGTAGGCAGTTTGAGATGTTATCTAGAAACTAATGAAATAAGACAATAATCCACCAATAGTCAATGACAGCGTGGAAGGAATTAACGAGCGTTTCCGGTCCGCTAAACAGGCTGGGAGAGACGGTAGTGATGCTCTGATGTTTGGTCTTTGTGAGTTTTTCTCGCGTCTATGATTGAGAGCTCGACTCCAGCTGCGTCTCCGAGGACTTACTCGCCTGTTATTCACACATCATCTTCGTAAGGTAAGAACTATTCATTCACCTGCTAGCAAAATACATTTAACAGTGCTGTGGAAGCTAATACAGTATAGTACCTAAACAAGCTAAAGCCAAAAACTGTCGTACTAGAAAATGGAAGCGGGTCGCGAAAGTGACGTGCTGTTCCCGTTTTCTGTTTTGTGTTCTCTGGTATGTTAGAAAGGGACACTTTAAATTGACTGTTTTCTTGACGTTGAGAAACCTTAGGAGGACGGGCTGATATATACACCGGGACGAGTAATTAGCTTCTCGGTGTATACACATAAACTGAGAGTTTACATAAGTTCTATATTTAAGAGTAAGGTATACTTACTGGTCGGTCAATAAGTCACTGTGGCGACCTTCACTCTCCCGCGGTTGGTAAGTTTCAGGCCCAACACCAACCATTTTAAGCATAGAAGGCTGCCAATAAGGAGTGATGATGGTGAGGCGTAAATAATGTTTCTCTTCACCCTCACAGGTAAGTGTGTGTGTGGGCAACGCGTTCTCGCACTTGCTTCAGTCAATATTGGCTTATTTAATTAGTGCATATGTGACATACTAATTGATTGCGAATATTTTAGTTTACCTTGAAAAGCTTCATAGAAAACACCGACCTCACCTAACCTTCATAGTATGTTAAGATAAGCATCTTATTGCTTCTTAATTACAATTATTACCTAACCTATACAGTTGATAGGTTGCAACGGGCGGCCCAGCGAGGCACTGGGCTCACCTCACAGTACATCAGGTAAGCTAACTTTTTATCTTTATTTTTACCTGCAAGTTTTAAATTAATTATTTGTTGACATTTTTAACCAAATGTAGTAGTTACTCTTGGGGTCAACCAGCTCCCATCTCTTGCTTGTGGGGTCAACCAGCTCCCATCTCTTGCTTGTGGGGTCAACAAGCTCCCATCCCTTGCTTGTGGGGTCAACCAGCTCCCATCTCTTGCTTGTGGGGTCAACAAGCTCCCATCCCTTGCTTGTGGGGTCAACCAGCTCCCATCTCTTGCTTGTGGGGTCAACCAGCTCCCATCCCTTGCTTGTGGGGTCAACAAGCTCCCATCTCTTGTTTATGGGGTCAACAAGCTCCCATCTCTTGCTTGTGGGGTCAACAAGCTCCCCATCTCTTGTTTATGGGGTCAACAAGCTCCCATCTCTTGCTTGTGGGGTCAACAAGCTCCCCATCTCTTGCTTGTGGGGGTCGACAGGTATATTAAGGTACGTTTTATAAACGGCTTTAATTTAATATAGGATTATTTCGACAATAATATATAAATACCCTTTTTATTGTTTGTTATAACTGAACTATAAAAGTTTTTTTGCATGCTTAAATTTTGTATACAGATCTCACTCTATTTGTTCATCTCGTTGTGATCCAAATTGCCGCCTTGAATAATATATTGCTTAAAAAGCATCATTGGTGTGAGTTAAAAGTGCCCTTATTGAGTCGATGAGATATAAATAGTAGTTTAAATATGTCATATTGGCGATCATAAGCTTCTTGAAGGGAATTAGTTGAATCAAAAAAGTTATTTTAAAAAAATGCGGATGTATGATTAGTGCTCCAAAATGGCGTCCAAGAATGGCCCAGCCAGGCCCTTGATTGACGGCGCTGAACTACCTCCAGGGAGGTAGAGGTAGAGGTAGAGGAGGGAGCCTTGGGGGTAGACTCTTGTAAACAAGTAGGTAGGTACCTCTCTGGGCAGGTAGTCTACCTGCCTACCCAGAGGGAGACGGGCAGGAGGCAGGAGAGGTGCCGGGCACCCGCAATTGGATTTAAAACATTCAGTGGTTATTCTATTTTAGGTTTAATGTCAAGTTCTAAGTCTAGCACCTTGGTGGGAGCTTAAAAGGCCAACCACTTGGTTGATCATATTGCATGAGTGGATACACTACACAGAACAACACTTAAGTGGACCTCTGCAACACTTGTCAGTTGTTGAACCTGGACCACGAGTTTCTTACTTAAGTTTTCAACTTAGTATCAAACACCACGGAGGGGAATAATATTATTTCTATTAACGATATGTCCAACACCACTCCTGCCGGCAATATTGTTGTCAACACCACTCCTGCCGGCAATATTGTTGTCAACACCACTCCTGCCAGCAATATTGCTGTCAACACCACTCCTGCCAGCAATATTGTTGTCAACACCACTCCTGCCGGCAATATTGTTGTCAACACCACTCCTGCCGGCAATATTGTTGTCAACACCACTCCTGCCAGCAATATTGTTGTCAACACCACTCCTGCCAGCAATATTGTTGTCAACACCACTCCTGCCGGCAATATTGCTGTCAACACCACTCCTGCCGGCAATATTGTTGTCAACACCACTCCTGCCGGCAATATTGTTGTCAACACCACTCCTGCCGGCAATATTGTTGTCAACACCACTCTTGCCGGCAATATTGCTGTCAACACCACTCCTGCCGGCAATATTGTTGTCAACACCACTCCTGCCGGCAATATTGTTGTCAACACCACTCCTGCCGGCAATATTGTTGTCAACACCACTCCTGCCAGCAATATTGCTGTCAACACCACTCCTGCCGGCAATATTGTTGTCAACACCACTCCTGCCGGCAATATTGTTGTCAACACCACTCCCTGCCGGCAATATTGTTGTAAACACCCAGCTGAAGGGTATACAATTATCTGTCAATTATTCCCAAGTTAGGCTTTGCGAATCTAATATGCTTACGGTGGATATATTTTGATATGCCAGTAACTGCCCCTCGGCCATGATGAACACACCGTAACTGTCCCTAATTTCCGCTTGTTACAACGTGTAATAAAGTTGTTACAGCTTGTTGTGACGTTTTTATGACGTATTTAAAACGTTGTTACAACCTGCTATATTGGTTGTTAAAACGTGTTTGGAGGTGTTAAAACTGGTTCGAACGTTGTAGCATTCGAACCAGTTTCTACAAGGGCCACAACGGTCCCTCCCGTCCACAAGGGCCACAACGTTACCCCCCCCCCCCGTTCACAAGGGCCACAACGGTACCTCCCCCCCCCCGTCCACAAGGACAACAACGGTACCTCCCGTCCACACCAATTTCTACCTTCATAGTATATGTTATATGTTCATAGTATATGTTCTGTTTCTACATATACTATGGACCTCATCGTTACTATAAGTACTACCAAAATAGGAGGATGGTCTGGATAAATCCATGCCCTGCTATTGTATCCGACTAGCTTGTTAGGAACTACGAGTGGTTTTTATATATGGAACTAATAGAGTAAGAATGATGTTACGGTGGTCAGAATGAGCCTCGGATGTAGACGTATCTGGCAGCTCTCTCAAAACCCAAATGTCGAATACACCATGTGTCAACTTTGTGAAAGTGTCGAATACACCATGTGTCAACTTTGTGAAAGTGTCGAATACACCATGTGTCAACTTTGTGAAAGTGTCGAATACACCATGTGTCAACTTTGTGAAAGTGTCGAATACACCATGTGTCAACTTTATGAAAGTGTCGTATACACCATGTGTCAACTTTGTGAAAGTGTCGAATACACCATGTGTCAACTTTGTGAAAGTGTCGTATACACCATGTGTCAACTTTGTGAAAGTGTCGAATACACTATGTGTCAACTTTGTGAAAGTGTCGTATACACCATGTGTCAACTTTATGAAAGTGTCGTATACACCATGTGTCAACTTTGTGAAAGTGTCGAATACACCATGTGTCAACTTTGTGAAAGTTTCGTATACACCATGTGTCAACTTTGTGAAAGAGAAAGCTTCCATTCCCTTGAACATTATATTGTAGAATGTCGCATATTGACTGACTTTCGCCCTCCTGGGCTGAGGTATGCTGAACTCTGTAAATATTATAGGACTACTGTAACACTTGATGATATATTGGACTTGTGCCCAAGATTGACTGTAATACATCTGTTATATAATGTTTGTGATGTAACTATAACCTGAGCTTGTGAAAGCATCTTTATCATCTTCAGTGATTAAGTGCTTAATAACACACTAGTTTCTATAGCAGCTATCTTACCCTGTCAAAGTAGGAGACACATATATGTATCTGTATATATATATATATATATATATATATATATATATATATATATATATATATATATATATATATATATATATATATATATATATATCCCGTCAGGTTCATCAGTCTTAGTCACTTCCTGATCTAGCAGATACCTCCTAACTAACAGACGTATATGTGTCTCTTTCTCTCTCTCTAGTCTCTCTCTCTCTCTCTCTCTCTCTCTCTCTCTCTCTCTCTCTCTCTCTCTCTCTCTCTCTCTCTCTCTCTCTCTCTCTCTCTCTCTCTCTCTCTCTCTCTCTCTCTCTCTCTCTCTCTCTCTCTCTCTCTCCTTTTATTCTTCCAAAATTCACTCATCACCCTTCTTTCCAGCTCCCTTACAATCTCTATCAATCCCCAGACTCTCTCGCCCACCCCTCCCACTACCACTACCCATCCATCCCCCCATTCCCTCGCCCCCCACCCTTCCCCGCCCCCAACCAACCGGTCCCCACCCACCCCTCCCCCCGCCACAACCCCCTCCTTCCCCAGAACATAATTTCATGCTGGCTGGCACCACACCACCGCCCGAAAATTAGTAATCACACGCAAAAAAAATGTCGAGGTGACAAATGCGCTTAATGAGTGTGTCGAGCTTGAGTATGATACCTCAGCTGTGGTGGAGGCCAGCGTGAGTATGATACCTCAGCTGTGGTGGAGGCCAGCGTGAGTATGATACCTCTGCTGTGGTGGAGGCCAGCTTGAGTATGATACCTCAGCTGTGGTGGAGGCCAGCGTGAGTATGATACCTCAGCTGTGGTGGAGGCCAGCGTGAGTATGATACCACTGCTGTGGTGGAGGCCAGCGTGAGTATGATACCTCAGCTGTGGTGGAGGCCAGCGTGAGTATGATACCTCAGCTGTGGTGGAGGCCAGCGTGAGTATGATACCTCTGCTGTGGTGGAGGCCAGCTTGAGTATGATACCTCAGCTGTGGTGGAGGCCAGCGTGAGTATGATACCTCAGCTGTGGTGGAGGCCAGCGTGAGTATGATACCTCTGCTGTGGTGGAGGCCAGCGTGAGTATGATACCTCAGCTGTGGTGGAGGCCAGCGTGAGTATGATACCTCAGCTGTGGTGGAGGCCAGCGTGAGTGTGCTGCCTCAGCTGTGGTGGAGGCCAGCGTGAGTGTGCTGCCTCAGCTGTGGTGGAGGCCAGCGTGAGTATGCTGCCTCAGCTGTGGTGGAGGCCAGCGTGAGTGTGCTGCCTCAGCTGTGGTGGAGACCAGCGTGAGTGTGCTGCCTCAGCTGTGGTGGAGACCAGCGTGAGTATGCTGCCTCAGCTGTGGTGGAGGCCAGCGTGAGTGTGCCGCCTCAGCTGTGGTGGAGCCCAGCGTGAGTATGCTGCCTCAGCTGTGGTGGAGGCCAGCGTGAGTATGCTGCCTCAGCTGTGGTGGAGGCCAGCGTGAGTATGCTGCCTCAGCTGTGGTGGAGGCCAGCTTGAGTATGATACCTCAGCTGTGGTGGAGGCCAGCGTGAGTATGCTGCCTCAGCTGTGGTGGAGGCCAGCGTGAGTATGCTGCCTCAGCTGTGGTGGAGGCCAGCTTGAGTATGATACCTCAGCTGTGGTGGAGGCCAGCGTGAGTATGCTGCCTCACCTGTGGTGGAGGCCAGCGTGAGTATGCTGCCTCAGCTGTGGTGGAGGCCAGCGTGAGTATGCTGCCTCAGCTGTGGTGGAGGCCAGCGTGAGTGTGCTGCCTCAGCTGTGGTGGAGGCCAGCGTGAGTATGCTGCCTCAGCTGTGGTGGAGGCCAGCGTGAGTATGCTGCCTCAGCTGTGGTGGAGGCCAGCGTGAGTGTGCTGCCGAAGCATATATGACTGTCTGTGTGAGATGAGAGGGGGAGTGAAGGGAGATGTGGTGATGGGGGGGGGAAGAGGAGGAGGGGGAGAGTGGAGAGGGGCAAGAAAGGGACAGAGGAGGGGAGGAAGATAGGAGAAGAAGTCCCCCAAACTTCCTTGACTGACTCCTTGAATGGCAAAGTGTGTTCCAATCGACCATCCTTGGATGTAGTAGAGTATACACTCGATCTTACTTGGATGGGGGATGTGTACAGGGGTGGAGCATCCTGGGGGTGTACACTCGAGAGTCGAACCAGGGTCCTCGCGGCACCAGACTCTCTAACTTCACGTGGCTGGAAGTTTGTACGTGGAGGCGTCTCCGGCGAGAACGTGGAGGCCGGTCCCTATATACTTTACAAGTATTTTCAAAACTATTTTAGAAACTAATATACATAGTCTACCTCATCGCTACTCATATTAAATGTGTTCGTGTTTGACATTACCCTTTGACCTTAAACAGTTTTCTCATCATATCTAAGTTGCCTGTCCTCATATCTCAGTTCCCTGTTCTCATATCCCTTTCCAATGCCCTGTTGCCATACTGGCTGAGAGCTTTCTCCCCATGAAAAAAATATCAGTTCGTAATATCCCGCCAAATTATTATTTTTTTTTTAATTTTTGTGAACTTTGGGGAAGTTGGATAAGGGGAAATTAAGTACCAAATTGCATTACAAAATTCTAGTGAAAAATATGTGGCGAGACGACCAGTCCAGCTGGTCGTTGTCCTGCCACGTGTCGTCGTCTTACACAGTGTAAACAAATGTCGTCTTGTCACGTGTCGTCGTCTCCCACTGTGTAAATAAACGTCGTCTTGCCACGTGTCATCGTCCCTCACAGTGTAAACGACCCTTCGGCCAAAAATCACAATATTCCAAATGTAGTTTCGTTTCCGTCTCATTATATTTTTTCCCATTTTCTATGATTAACATCCTGTTGTGGGTTAATTACTCCGCCTCATTGCACCAGATTTGGGTCATGTTATTTGTTTTTTCCTCGTTGTTAAGCTGCCTGTTTTATGGCCGTGTAACGCTGGCTTTTTTATGGCCGTGTAAAGCTGGCTTTTTTTTATGTAAGTGTAAAGTTGCTATTTAATGTCAGTGCAAAGCTGTCTTTTTATGTCATTGTAAAGCTGGCTTTTTAAACTGCATATTATATTTAAATATATATTTGATCTGTACCATAAGTTAAAGTGATTTCACTCCACAGATCTATCACCTTCGGGCTATACTCATGCCCGTGTCGCCTTTTGTGGTGGTTTAATCTTCCTCAGTCAATCAACCTGAATGTTGGGGTTCAGCTCCTGGCCCCCCTGCCGTTCCCGCTGATTGTTTTTGTTCGAAAAGTGACTGTACTCACCTCCTCTGGAGTTCCTTATGAAATGTTTCGCCTACGTTATGTATAAAGTAATGATTGAAAGATCTTAACTATTTAACATGAGGTAAGAGGGGGTATATGGGCTCCAGATCTGTGTACTGCTTTTATCGATTATATTTAGACCTTTTTGATCATGCAATTACCCCTTTACTGTTTAGCAGGAGTATCCCAACAATCACCCTCTACTGTTTAGCAAGAGTATCCCAACAATCACCCTCTACTGTTTAACAGGAGTATTCCAACACAGTCACCCCTCTACTGTTTAGCAAGAGTATCCCAACAATCACCCTCTACTGTTTAACAGGAG